GAACAAGTACTGAAAAGTATGCGAAAGTGTGGTGTGCAAAAACCCAGGCCCCATGACAGGCCCTTCTGTTTGTTTTTAGCTCGTCGTGTTGCGAGGAGGTGATACTGACCTTTCGCAGCTGCCCTACTTGTACGGAACTGCTTGGAAAGAGACTGCGACGACTGACCTTGTGGTCAAGGCAGTCAGGACAGGCCCATCGTGTCTTACAGTCTGGAATAAACCAGATTAGCAAGGAGTGTCTTGAGAGCACTACTCCATTCTGAGAGCCAGGGCAGGATTTCGTGGCATCGACACGGCATGTCAGCCGAAGCACTATCGCAACTCAGCCGCACCAGGAAAGTCATGAAGCATTGAGCCAGACTCAGAAGAGCGTGCTTCGTGTGATTTTGGTAGCCATTCCAGGCGAGGATCTCGTGGGAGCCGCACTCGCAAAGCTTGCTGCAGACTCTCGGATTCAGCATGGGCCCATGATGGCAAAGGGGTGCGTTCCGTGTGAGAGGAACTTGGCTTGCGGTCATGAGGTCACTGTCGTGTGCTCGCAAAACTGTAGCCAGGCGTATGGGTGGCAAAGGCTGCGTAAAGGTCCTAGGTAGTATTAGGGAGACCCCTTAAAGGGGAACCTTCTTAACCCTACTTTAGGCTTTCTTAAAAGGAACCTTATTTAGAGGGATTTAGAGGGTGTATATCCTCAAGGGCCTCCTGACTCCTAAAAGGTGGTGTCCCAGAAGGCGATCATGGGCAGCCTGAGAGAGTTTCCTTTTCAAGTTCAGCTGCATTGGAGATTTGTCTCCACGCATCCGCTTGTGCAGTACATTAGACTCGGCTTGTGCATGGATCGGTTCATATGAAATCATTTAGCTTTGGGTCGTCGGCGCTTTCGCGGATCCTGGTGTTGCCTGCCATCCAGCACCAAGGCTATCTTGGCAGTCTTAGCAAGGGCAAAACATGAGAACCACCTGTTGCTGGTGTGCCTCGTGGCGAAAATCTCGACAGCGTTCTTTGCATCACCGCTCCCTACCGTGGCCGCCAGTGGCCGTCCTGCATTGACGCTCTGTAAGGCTGGGCATGAACGGAGGAAGTGCTGCAACGATTGCCGTCCAGGGGTAGGGTTCGTAGGGTTGTAGGAAGTGCAGTGCAGGGCTGGGCCTAGCACTGCCGGGCACATTGCCATGAGATGGTCTGAACAAGAAGGTACAGGATCGGCAGCGGCCCACGATCGGGAACTGTGGCATGAGTATGGACAAGCTTTCCTGATCTTCCTGCAGCGCTTGGGGGTTGCCGACCCGGGGTCCGTGAGCTTTACACTGTTACACCATACTCGCCATACCGGAGATGGACACCATTCAGAATTTCCCTGCCGCCTCCTTGACTTGTTTCATGCCGGAGTCTGTGCAAGCATCGACGGCCATTGGCTGCAGCGGTACCGAAGACTTCCTCAGCGGGACATAGAGGCCGTCATAGCACCCGCAACCAGAGCTCGGTTTGACAGCATGCCCTAGGACCCTAGGAGCTCTGGGGAATGCGCCAAGGAGGATCAGCTTCCACGCGAGGCGCTCTGGATCCAGACCAAGTCTCTCGACCGAACATTTCAGAAGAATCCTCTGAACAACGCAGTTCCAGGTTCACGTCGCTGCGCGGGCAGGATCCGAGCCGAGTGCCGTACGACAGCAAGGCATGTCGGAGTCCGAGCGCTCCTTGAGAACGATTCTTGGGTAGCCTTCCCTTCCATATTTGCAGTATTGCAGAGGAGCATGCTGTTCATGGACTCCAAAGCATTCGGACATATTCGGCTAGAAATGCGCTGTGCTTTGATCTCAGAAGATGCAGAACTTTGGAGGCTCCGCTGGCTGCCCAAGTGGAGCAGTCCATAGAAAAGTCGTTGCAGAACCTGGGCACCGCCTACATTGACTCGCTGGTGGCCCGGCATGGCCCAAGTCCGAGCACACGTCCAAGCGCAAGTCCGGTCTCAGCCGAGGTGATGCACTCGCCCATGCCGTCGCTGGAGGAGAACCTCGAGGCAGAGGGGCTAGAAAGGGGCCTGGGCACTTCGAACATCTTCGAAACCACGGTTTCAGGTGTGGCGTGTCTTTGAGCGAGCCAGAGTCTCAGCCACGCCCGGCAGTCGCCGCGTAGTTTCGACTCGACTTCGCTGCAAGCCTGGATCGGAGCTCAGGCCGTAGAGCAGGGGAAAGTGCGCCAGCTAGGCATCAGCAACCCGACTGGAATTTCGGCAGATGATGGAAGATGTAGCCGTGGGATGCGGTGGGCCTATGCTGCTTGTGCTGCTTGTGCTAGATTCTGCTCGGTGCTGTTGTGCGCAGCTGTTGGTGACTGTTGGTGATGTTCTGGTTTAACTTGTGCAGTCAGAAGTTTTTCAAGGCAATTGCTATGACCCGCGAACCTTCCGTCGGATCTACGACGCCGTGAGGCCTGTCCCAGCGGCTTCCTGCACGACTGTTTCTGGTATCAGCATAGAACCTAAGTGCACTGCCGGGCTGGCAGGATCAAGCCAAGAGTGTTGCAGAATCGGTTCTATGTGGAGTCTGGCTACGACCTGGAGCTTCGCCAATTCTGCTTGGAAAGGGGCATCACCTACCAAAGCTTTTGGACACTCACCGCGAACCCGCATGTCTTAGCGGCTTGACTTTCAAGTTGCATCCATCCCCGGGAGCAAGTAGGACCAGGTAGGAGTGATGAAGACGACAAAAGAGAACTGCAGTCACCGGTGCAGCTTTTGAACAAGTCTGTGGTCGTGCCTGAGGCATCGCCACCTGTGCAGTCTGCTGCTGAGCGCTTGCGCGCAACTCCGGCGCAGATTCTCTTCAGATGGCTGATCCAGCCACATGGCGAGGGATGCATAGCAGGAGGCCCGCACGCTTTGAGGGCCCGGGCACGAGCCAGAAAGAAGAATTGACAACAGAGGTTGCCCCTTTGCCAACATGTTGAAACTGGTGCCAAATGCTCCCTCGGAATTTGGAGTCCATGCACCTAGCTTGGCCCTAAGTTTGAAAGGATGCAAATATAGCTATGCCATGCAAGGCATTTGAAGGAGTTAAGTTTGCCTCCCTACGCGATTGTTGGCGGGTGATTGGGCCTCGAGTTTCTCAATGAACTTTTTCTGTCGACTGTCTCCGCTTGTGTCCGGTTTACTAGCAGCTCAGAGTACGTCATAGTACTTAGCTAGATGTCTGCACCGAGGTCAGGACATCAGCCGCTGACAGGAACCAAGAAGCTGGCCAGCAAGTTGCTTCGGATCAGCGCTAGCCGTGGGTCAGCTCCACTTGTACCTGCCTGCTAGCGTGGCCATTCCGGGTCTGTTTGTCGGCTTCTGTGCCAAAGGAGCTCAGACCACATGCAGCAGGACCTGGAGGTTGTATGCTCAGCATTGCCCAGATCCTGTCTTCGCGGCAGTCTCTGGTTTTTCCCGATGGGCCTTAAGGTAATGAGCCTTGTGCTGACAGATGGCGAGATGCAGAGCATCGGACAGATGTTTGCACCCGGTGTGTGGTCAAGATCTTGACCTGAGATCAGTGCCGCTGAATGTAGCAGGGAACCAAAGAGGCACCCTTCGGTTCGTCGGAAAATGCCGCAGTGTTTGCCAGAGTAGTTGATCTGCAAAGGACGACCACCATCACAATTTTGCGAGAGTGTGCATGGACGACCAGCATGCCGTACCCTGGCAGTCGAGGCCGCATCCCATCTTCCTCAAGTGGTCCCGAGATCCTAGAGGGGAGGCGCGTCTCGCGCACGAAGGGTGCCCCATCCCGGCATGGCTCGGCCTAGATAAAGCAAGTTTGAACGCATCACCAGATTCCCTGCAGAGGTGAATAGCTTGCACACCATGGCGTTCAGAAATTTCCTTGCCACGGTCTTGGCATGCCTGCTTCTCCTTATCGAGTCGGCCAAATGGAGGTCGGCAGGGCGTATCAGATCCCTAGAGTTTCTCTAGGTCTTCGCTGCATCGAACCTGGTCTTTGACATCCTGGCCGTTGCGCTGGCTAGCGCCAGGCTCGATCCTCCCAATGTGACTGAATTATCGACCCAATGCGGCACGAGCACACCCACCCCGACTCCTTCGAAGGTATGCCTTCTTGGGCAGAAGTCGGGCAGGGTACGAAGAGATTCTGAACGAGGCAGGATGGGAGAAAGGAGTGCATTTCACAGGCCATGGTATTCTGCAGTCGAGCTAGCTAAGAATTCAGATATGCTGGCTTCGATGTATGGCACAGCCTTGCACCTGCCTAGGCGCCAGCGATGCCGAAAGATCTCGCGGCACATGCGTATGCAGCACCATGAGCGGAGATGAGGGTGGGCATGGCATTTGTCAATAGTCGCAAGTTCCCAGGGCAGACGACGCTCTCTTTAAGTCTTGCAACAGCCATGCACAGAGAGAAAGAATCAACAAGTCAAGCATGCGGGAGTCGATGTGGGATTCTTCCAGGGAGGCTCTGACTGGCGAATCTGTCCCAGTGATGGAAGCTGAACTTGACTGCCTGCGGAAGATTCGTCAGCCCTTGCTCTGATTTCTGCTCTGGTCTGGTTGCGGGCTCGCTGTGTCAACGTGCTTTCGTCAACACTCTTGAGAAGCCTTGGCGGCGCTGTTTGGCTCGTAGCATTGCACGGCTTTGGTCACATTCAGAACGGCCTCAACCATCGACCACAAAGATGCCGCGCAGCGGCAGGCTTACTGTGGTTGCTCCTTTGCGGTGACACAATCTCGCAGCCATGACCGGTGCTGAAACCGGAGGCATGAGAGCGAGGGCCTGCCTGCAGCATCCGCAGCTATCCGTGAGTCAAGTCGTTGCAGGTAGAAGCATGTAGAAGCTGCACACGTTGCACCACTGCAAGTCAGGTGGTAGATGTCTCGCGTACACTTTGAATCTTTCCTATGCAGGGGTCAGCTGCATTGCGGGGATGATTCAGGACCGCAATGGGATTCACCGCTTCTCGTGGCCGTGGCATCGGCTGGGAGGTTTTGCAGAGCTTGAAAAGCATTCTTCAGAATGCGCTGCTGCTCCTTCGAGTGAGGTTTGGATCACGGGCGGTGAACCAGCCAGCTACCGAAAGCACGGCAGATAGCCCGAGACCAGATGGAGAAGAGCCAGTTACGGCACTTCCGCTCTTTGATGGTGCGATGATTCTGTATGCTTATGCCAGTGGACGTCTGGTCGGTGTCGAAAGCTCGAACCGGACAGTGCTATTGAAGCAGCAGCTTCCGGCAGAAATCTTTTCTCATTGCAGTCTGACTGAGATTCCGTGCCTCAAGTGCAATGCAGGCCTTGAGTCTTTAGTGGCATTGTTTAAAGCCAATCATCTTGTCACCTTCCAGCCAGCGCTGCTCACTGACACCGCGGCGGACTGGCCGGCCCTTCGCAAGTGGGACTTTGATTTCTTCGCCCAGTCTTGTGGGCACATCGAGGTGGAGGTAGCTCTGCAGGGCGGCCGGAAGCGTAGGCATCTACTGAAAGACTACCTGGCATTGTTACGACGTGGAGAACCGACAGATTCCGGGGGTCCTTGCGCACTGCCATACCTACGTGCCTGGGATGGCAAGTTGCTGCGCATATGGCTGATGTCAGGTTAGGCCGCCAGGGTTCTCCAAGCACTAGCTGCATTAAGGCGGATGGTTCTACGAACGAGACGCGCCGTGGCTTTCGAATGACCTGTGGCGGCATGGTGACTTCCATGATGTCGCATTTCAGGCCCGGTGCTGACTCTTATCAAGACATCGCTCTGCCTGTGCACAGAGCGAGGGGCCAGGGGTCAGGTCATAAGTTGAATTTCTTAGGGTGGTACGCACACAACAAGCATGCATGGCCTTTGTGCAGTGCAGATGTCGCTCTGCTTTTCTAAGTTGGAATCTAGGTTCTTATGAAGAAGTTGTGCTGAAGCTACATCCCACGCAGGACTATTTCCGAAAGCTTCCACAGCGGCATCATCCAGATTTCCACTGGCTTTTCATTGGCGGAGAAGGTTCTACAACACCGCTACATGTCGACCCGTCTGGAACCCATGCCTGGCTGACGCAAATCCGAGGCCGTAAACGCTTTACCCTTTTCGCGCCCTTTAAGATGGCAAGCCTCTTGAAACATGGTGGAGGCTTCAAGCCCCTGAAGCAGATCCTGCAAGAAAGGTCCGCTCTACCGTTGCGGGTCATTCTAAACCCTGGAGATACTATTTTCGTGCCAGCCCACTGGCCTCACGAAGTCGAGTGCATTGATGATTCAATTTCTGTTACCTGGAACTTTCTGGGTGAGAGCGTCTTCCCGATCATTCGAACGGCTTTTTTGGCAAACGCAACACGCTCGAGAGCGCCTGCAGAAGGACAATCGCTGACAACCTTTGCAGAAGAGACTTGAAGAGTGGAGAAAGAGGAGTTCATGGGACATGGCGGCGGTCATGCTGCCGAGTTTTTTGGCTCCTCCACGATTGCTGAGGCGATCTGCGAATTTACTACACGTGTTGCTTTCCAGCGGGTTCAGAATTTTGAATGGGCCCCGAGATCACCAAGAAGATAGGTGTAGACTCAGTGTAGACAGCACACTGGCGGTGCTTTCACCGGTAACAGCCGACCGGTGAACAGCCGACAATTGAAGAAGCCGGCGTAGAGGATCCCGCTCTGGTTATTGGCCTTTGACGCTTATGTCATGTCCCGCGCTGTTAACGCTGTTAACGGACAGCTGTTAAGCCTAGCTGCCTAGCTTTTCTGAGTCTGAGGTCCTGGAAGCACAGCTATTGCAGCCACGGCGGCTGCTGGTGCAGCGGCGATGGCAGGTGAGAGCTCAAGTCAAATAATTTCGGTACAGTAAGGGAGGTAGAAGTATAGATCTCAGTTGGCACACTTTGCAGGCACCATGGCTTTCACTGCCGCGCCCGGTGTACGAGACCCAGTTGCGCAAAAATACATGAGCGGCTTGTGCGGCAGACTGCTTCTCCGCTGAAGGTTTCAGTTCCCGCCCAGTTGCAGGGTCACAGTGACCGAGCTGAAACTGTCACGTTGGGGCTTGTGCGTCCCTTCCCGCAATGGCTTTTGTTTGCGATCCATGGTGAACTGAGGCCCGCAGGCTTCAGTGAAGCCGACCTCGGTCCCTGGTCCCGGCTATCCGGGGGGCATAGTACAGAGGGGTGTGCGGAAGTATGGCGTGCGGATGCGCGCTGCACTGCTGCGAGCGAGGCGCCTGGCGCCGTTCCTCTGGCCACAGCCGCTCTGGGAGCCGCAGCCGTCGGTGCCGCAGCTGCGCGCGGGGGGTCCCGCAGGGAGGCGCCGGGTCTCCGGTCGTTTCTGGAGATTCAGCTTTTTGTTTCCAACTGTTGCAGCTCTGCTTGCCCGCCGGCAGGCCAAGAAGAGGACTCACCATTGACTGCAGTATGGAAAGCATCACCGGAAGCAGGCTAGTGGCTGTGTCTCCAAGTTGTGAGCAGCGGCCCTTCGAGGACTGCTGTCAGGGTGAACCCGGACGACATGGATGAGGTTTGCGAGCAGACTGGGGTCACCCTCAGCCGTTTCCTGGCCTCTCGAGTTGTTCTTAAGACATCGTATTACTATAGTATTAGTATTCCATGACTATTCCATGTATTCGAAGATTCGGGTCTTTGGGGATTCATCTTTCTGGTGGATCGAAGCCGTTTCCTTTGACAGCGGTTACAAGTTACCCGGAAATAGGAAGTAGATCTCGCAAGCTGTGCTGAGGCTACTGCATAGAGCTGGCCAACCGTGGCATCATCGATTCTGACCTGGACTCCATTATGAACTCTATCCGTGAGGCCTTGTCCGCCTGTGTTGCGGGACCAGGGTATGTCGGACACGATGGATAAAGAAGCACAGTCTAGAAACGACAGCTGTCATTTTGCGCCAGGAGCAGTAGCACACTGCGTTGCACGCAACAGGCCTCGAAGGTCATCTCGAAGCTGGTCAACACGGCTCCGCTGCAGCAGGCCGGCTCACTGCTACAGTCCCATCGGCTGCCTGTGCTCATGAGCCTGCTCAGTGCTGTGGCGCCGGAACTTGAAGCTGGCGACATGCTTGACTCTCAAGGCCGAACTCTTGGGGCTGCAGGGCGAGATCAACGCAACCTGGCACAATTTGCTCGTCCTGACCTTCTAGCCCTTTCTGGAAAGTCTGCTGGGTTGCCTATCTGTCTGGGTGATGCAATCTGGCAAAGCCGAATGTTAGCAGCTTGCATGCCGTTGCCAGCAGCACAAACGAGACACGAACCGACATGGCGGTGCATCAGCGATCAATGCAGTAGACATGCCGGTCGGGTTTCTCCTTGCAGCTCGCGGGTGAAATGCCAAGACCGACATGGCCCGAGTAACAGCAATTTTGCTCGCGACAGCCCCTGCCGCAGCTACAGACCCATTGCGCTCAACACAGCATCAAGCTTTTGCGTGGCTGTAGTCGCTGAACATGGCCTGTGCATGTCATGAGTTGACACTGATGGCCCTTCCGATGCCGCAGATTTGCAATCCTTTCTGTAATTACTGTTTGTTGGATGCGATCGTTTATTTCGACTGCACAGACTGTGCTTCATGTTCCAGTTGTTGTCCTGGTCGCGGACTGTTGCTCCGACGTCACTGTGTGACAGCTCGATTGTTGCTGATGACTTTGTTGGGGCGATTGAAGCTTTGCCACTTTAGTGGAAATCAGCAGAAGCGGCTATATGGCAGGATCTGGGCATGTGAACATGCCTGTGACGATTGATGTGGTCAGCTCATCAGCTCACATTGGGATGTGTAGTTTTATCACCTTTCGGCAACGAGCTCGGTGGTGCGGCATGCAAGGCTGCATAGCAGCTGTGCGCTGAGCAAGTCTTCTGCGAAGCTCATTCGGTACGGCATGCCTGTACACAGTGCCTCAATCGAGAGAGCAGAAGCCACAGACAATCCCTGTCGACGATGCCACTGGATTGAAGGAAGGCCTTCGACACTGCTCGCTGCACTCACCCGGTTCCGCGTCCCTCCGCACCTGACGGACACCTGCCCACAATTCACAGCCGCAGCAGCTGAGCGCAGCATAAGAAGCGCAAATCAGGCATCAGACAAGGATGCCCATTATCAATGATCGTGCACGTTATAGATCTGGAGCTCGCATCCCACGGGAAAATCTTGCCCTGGATCTACAGGCAGAACCAGCCATTCACAGCCACGCTCAGACTCACAGATGAGCCGTAGACCGCCACTTTTGGAGTCGTCCAATGAGGCCGCCAACATGCAAGACACTCCTCACAGCTAGCTCCTTCCAGGTTTCCTGACAGACTTGAGTTCGCTCGGAGGTGTTGCGAGAGAGTTGCACAGGG